CTAAAGGAATATCTACTATACTGATGACAAGTGAAATTAATACTATAGTCTTGACTTGAATCCTTGTTCAAGAAGCTCCATCTTCCCTAGCTATCTATTCCTGTTCTTCCTGATGTCAAAGTCGTAATCATTGCATTATTATAACATTAATTGTTTTTTTAAATAAAATAATTCATTAAACACTTGATATAAGAATAATATGTAAGATTAATACCTTCTTTTAGCTGGAAACCTCCACTAAGTAATGCAATTGATTCCAAGCATAGCTAAGCTAGGTTAAAACAGTGATTGCTTTTCCCAGTTCTGAGATCTGAGCATGCGCGACCACGCCCAAATTTTGGAGCACATGATTCTATAATTAACAAAATGGCGACGGGAGGTAAGTTGGCCTGATACAGCAGTCATAAAGTCACTTTTTCTTATCTTGGAGAATGATTTTAGGGGACATGGATCCGCGCATAGACTGTTGGAGTAGAGTGGTGTAAGAATTATACTTCTAGCACGAATCAAGATTGAGATACAGCTCGCCAACTGAATTGCCAGGACTTTCTTGATGATGATGATGATGAAGATGAAAAAAGGTGGCTGAACAAAACGGCCGGTTCGCCGATTTTTGGCTTTCCTCTTAGACTAGGTTTAGAGCCACGCTAATGGTACCAATGGAGTCCTCTGGTCAAGATGAGGTCCTCTAAAAAGTCTGGTAAGCATAGGAGCTCGTTTTCCAGGTATAGCAAGGCTGCAAAAGTCGTGGCAGCCATTTTGTTTGGGGGTGAATCCTACTTAGTAACGCTACCGCGTTACTAATAGTACAGGGACTTTTACACAATTTTGGAGCAACTTTAAAAATTTGTAAAAAATGCAATTTTGATTGGAATCAGCTCAAAATTTCTATACAACATAAGAACATGTATATGTATTGGATCGGTAAAAAAATTTTAAATGGAGAATTCTCTCCTTTTCAGTTTTGGCAAAAATTTGGCCCAGGAACAAAAAGTTTTAAGAATTCAATTTTGATGGGAATCAACTCAAAGTTTTCACACAACTTGAGAACATGCATATGTATTTAAAACTCTAATTTCAATTACAATTACTATTACAGACACTAGTATTTTTCACTATTTCTATTACATGGTAATCTAAGTGCTATTACCATGGAATGCATGTTA